TTCAACAGAAGCTCTCCCAGAAATGTGGTATAACCATTTAAGCAACATATTTTCTTAAGTTAGGGGCTTCCAAGAAAGCAGTTTTCACTGATATTGGGAGAGACCTAGGGTGGCTTGTAGCTGAGACCTGTTGGGCTCAGCTGCAGCAGGTTATAAGGCACTTCTGTCTCATTTTGTGGCTTTTTTTGGCTAAGAAATGGGCAGCTGCTCTGCCCTGGTAGGTGCAGCTTGCACCCCACCTTGCAGTGCAAGTGCTCCTCAAGGGGCTGTCAACAACCTGCCCTGGGGGAGGACGAGGAGATGTGTCCTGGTTTGCCAGCCTGATAGAGTGGGAGACATCCCACCCAAGCTGGCCCAAGCTCCCCCTCTCCTGACATGACCGCTAGACCTGGCCAACCCGAGCTAGGGGCTATGAGATGTGTGAGGAGCAACACAACAACCACACGTTCTGTTGGTTGGTGTTTTATCAGACTGGAAATTGCAATGACCTAAAGGTGTCCGGGTTGACCTGTTTGACCAGTTTGCGTGTTGGGATGGAAAAAATGCTGTAGAGCAGGCAATGCGGAGGGCAGTGTGAGGAGGATGGAAGGGACGTGGTCTGGGGAGAGTCTCTTCCAGGTGACTTTGCAGCACTCCTACTCAGCAATGACACATGAGTTTTGCTCAGCCAACCTTCCTGCAAGTGTGCATTGACTTGGAAAACTTCTCTTGAAATCCTTTGTCCCTGATTAAAATTTAGGAGGAAAGACCTTCATACAGCATTGCTGCATATAGCTGTGATGTGGTCTGTGTTCTGCATCCATGTCCTTTGGGAATTTGGTCTGGAAAGTCAGTAGGGGGAACCTGGGACATTGCAGTCCCAAAATGTTTTTTTGATGCCAGTTTTTGTGAGGATAGAGCTCTCCTGCGGGGAATTATTTCTCATCTGCTTGTTCTTCACTTCCATGCATCTTCTTTCTCTCTCCATCCCTTAACTCTCTTTCCCACCAAAGTGGGATTCAGTGAGACTCTGTAAGTGATAACTGGACTCTCCTCGATATAATAATTTTTTTGTACTTTTTGTGTGCTGAGGGCAGAAGTCTGAATTAAAATCCTGTTTCATTTGACACAAGTGAAGAGAAAAAAAAATGTTGTGGCATTGCCAGCATTTGATACTGTCATTGAATTATAAAGGGAGGAGAGTCTTGGCTTTGATTTCCCTATCTCTGAGGCTTGTCAGGCATGGAAGATAACCTCTGGGCCTTCTTTAAGAAAGATCTTTGAGATTACAATAATTTGTCTCAGACTTTCGGAGACAGGGTAGGTTGTTACATGAGTCTCTTGTTCCTGCAACATGCAACGAGAGCCGAAGACGTGTAATAAGATAAATAAGGAGGTCTCAGCTTCTCTGAATGTCAGCTCACTTCAGAAGCAGTCTTTTTGTACTGGACCAGTGCCCTGTGCCCTCCCTCTGCCCCCGTCAGCACCAACACACGTTCCCCTGGAGGGGGGACACATTTTCTCCTTGGCTGGCAGAAGGTACCAGGGCTAGAGTCTGTCCTCTCTCAGGGCACCAAAATGCCAAAGGCAGCTAAGTTCGTGCTGCTGGGAAACTGCATGTCGGAGATTTCTCTAAGCAGAGAGGCTAACCAATGATGGAAAAGGTGGCCAAGTCTTCGTTCATCAGTCTTGGCTTTGGTTTTGGGTAGAGCATAAGAGTAGGAATCAAGGCTCACACCGAGTGCTCTGCCCTGCTCTGTTTCTCACCTCACCTGAGATTCCAGGCAGGTGCCTGCTCTCAGCTACACCGTGTTTCCCTTCACAAGCAAAAAACTGCCCATAACCAGCGGTGCTTCTACCGCATAGCTTCCCCAGGCCAGCAAGGGGGGAGCGAGTTTTCAGGAGGTACCCCCGGAGGCATTGCAGTCACAGCTGAGGTGAGGTTTGCACCGGCAAAGCTGCATCTCTGGAAATATTCACAGCCATTGGCGTTGCATAGCATCACAGCGTACAGAGCCAGCGTGGGATCTGGCCTCGTCTGTGCACTCTCTGCCGTGGCAACTTACTGCCTGGGTGAGTCTGCAGCCTGCTGCTCACCCTGCTGAGATTTCTTTAGCAGCATTTTGGGCTGTCGATAAACAAGGAGAAGGTTTCTGTACAGCGATAGGGATCAAAAAACCAGCCTAAGCAACTTTCAGATGTGGATGGAATTTCCTCCCGAGCAAGGGGCCCAGGCCAAACTAACACTTGGTTTTACAGGCTGCTGCGAGGCTCTGTTCGGACAAATTAATGCCCGGTGACTTCCTCAGGTTGCATGTACCCTTGGAGAACAGAAACTCAGAGGTTTGTCTGATACGGCTCCTGCCAAGGAAGTTTCTAAACAGTTTGTGAAAGCCGAGGAGCTGAGAAATCATTAGGTTGCTGAAGGAGAAGAAATCCATCCTTTAATGCGTGCTAAGGTTATCAGCAAGGCGTGGAGAGTGCTTCTCCCCGTCTGCATTTACATACTCTGCTGCCAGCGGTGTTAAGGGAGCCACAGCTTCCCAAAGCAATCCAGGTACTTCACTGCTTCTAAGAATGATGAATTTGCCCTGTTAGAGGTGGTCCTGGCTGGTGATGGGGAAGGAATTGCTACCAAGCCCAAAGATCTTGGAAGATACTGATCCTGAAGGACTATCCCATGTTCGGACTAAAAGAACATAGTTGGGGGAAATTATAGTCCTGCTCAGGTTAATCCAGCCTCTTCCGCTATGGGTAAGGTCCCGATGGAGCTGTGTAGCTCATTGACTGGAAGGAGAGGAGGAGACCTTCAGGCTCCTGGGACGCCTGGTGTAGGATGACGGAGGTGGCTTCATGGTTTCTATCTCCTGAGCGTGCTGCTTTGGCAGGGGTGACAGGTACCAGCCATGCATCCAGAGGTTGTAGACGTACCTGGAGACTGTCAGGAGCAGGGTACGAGGCTGTGAAATGGGATGAGAGTATTCAAACTGGCTTCTTTCAGAAGAGCTTTCTGTAGGATTGCAGTATAAATGCTGGCAAATCAATTGTTTAACCACTAAAGCCACCGTTACAGCTCAGACCTGCTCCTGAAAAGGAATTGATATCTATATGGAGAAGATGCGTTTTAGTTCAGTGCACAAAAAGTTAACACACGTTTTTAATCTGGCTGTTTCTAAGGGCTCGCAGAGGGGGAGGGAAGGGGTGGGGGGGAGGAATCCTGACACATGCTCACAGCAACCGCGTTTCTCTTTCCAGCGCCTGGTGCGGATGAACATGCCGATCTCACCTGAAGATTTAACTGTCCACTTCACGTCCACGTTGATGGCCTTGATCCGCACTGCCCTAGAAATCAAACTCGCCTCAGGTGAGAGGGAGGTGATGCCTGACAGCACGCATGGGCTCAAACCCCAGCTTGTCTGTTGGCTTGGTGCTCTCCCAAAACCACAGAAATTCGGCCCCAGGTGGAAATCCTATTTTCCTATTGCCTGCTGGCCATCTGCCAGAACCTGAGGGCAAGGGACAGGCAACAGAAGGGTCCTGAGCATCATTCTGCCTTTGGGGTGGCTGTGTACTGGCATCCCTATTGATGACA